ATGCAGCGATTTCTATTCTCAAGTTACATACCTGCTGACAGTACGAATGGCATTTATAATAGGGAGGTTTTAGTTTTTTAAACTATAATTTTATTTTATTTCATTTTTGTTTTTTTTTTTTTAATTATTTTTTTTTTAGTTTGAATTTTAGACAAAACTATTTTTTTTAATTAATTTAAATTTGTATTTTTTAAAATAAATTTATATGATATTAAAGTAATTAGATTTCTTTCCTAATAAATTGTTGTTAAACTATTATTTCCTCGCTTCAAAAAAAAAACATTCATTAAATAGCGTCTAGCAGATGAATATATGTATGTACATATGTAGGTATGTATGCCATTTATATTTTACGTCTACGTTTACACAAATATATGGAATTATATCAAACTATAACAAATATGGAGTATAATAAATCTGTGTTCATATGGAAAAGTAGCTTATGTCGAAAGGCTGGCTTTAGTATAATGCGGCATTCCCTTTGTTCTTTAAACGACAAGGAATTTTTTGATGAGACTTAATAAGAATATTGACTTGCTAGTATCGGAACTACTTCTTGCATGTTTATTTGCCAAAAGTTCTTCAACGGCTCAGCGCCAGTGAGTCATTCGCAATCGCATGCTGCGAATGCCGATTTATACTAAAGCCAGCCTTTCGACATAAGCTACTTTTCCATACGAACACGGAAATATTTATTATTAACAATAATGCAGTTTCAGTGATTTTAAATTTTGTTCCGACAGCATAAACTCGTCGTAGTGTATCTGTACGAATCTTCATTACGAACGGATTCAATGAATGCTCTCTACGAATTTCGAATTTACGTTCGTAGCCATTCGGATTCTGTGATAGCACTTTCGTAGGTTTCACGAAAATCGACGCTACGATGGATTCTGTGATAGCCCTGATTAGCTTATTTTGTATGGAGGACTTACCCAACATAATTATATTGGCTTATGAAAAGCTATCTTGGCTTGTATATTGAACAAGAGGCATTGCCATTCAGCATCAGAAATTTTCTCCTTCAGCCAATCAGAAAGAGGCAAAAACTTACTTTGACACTATTTGCAGTCAAACAACTGTCAAAATTAGGCTAACATAGGAAATAAGCTACATAATTTCGTTTTATTTGACCAAGATTTAGCTATTTGCTTGTGATGGTTGAATAACACATGCCTATTGTTATTGTCTTCGTTGCTCGCTCAGTTACTATTTATTTATATATACATACATATATATATATTTTTGTACCCTACATACGGCTTAGCTACCCTACCAACGGCATAGCTATATTGTTTTGTTTCAAAGGCGAAATTTTTAGTACTTGCAGATATCAACAAAATATCCATACATTTATATACATATCTGCACAGATTTATAAAATTAAATTTTGGTTTATTCAATTTTATAATCACAGGTTAGGGCCAGTTTGCTGTGCCAGTTTAAACTTAGATCAAATTGAACAGCTGGCAGATATTTGATTGGCTAATCTTAGTTTAAACCAGCCAGCTCGAGCGTTTGAACCAAGTTTAGACCACAGACGAGCACTGAAAAACTGGCCCTAAGAATGGCATAATTTATTTGTTCAATGATTTGTAGGATGTATGTGAAACCGTGCATCTTTTTAGTGTTAGTTTTAATCCTTGTTATTGTTTATAATGAAGATATATTCAATAGATTTTTGATCAGTTCCGACCCTGCTATATCAAGTATGAGAAAACTACCCGAAACAATGGATGGAAGGATCTGCCGAAAGAAGCAAAACATTTGATAAACATATAGAATCATAGTGATGATGAAGATGTTGAAAGCGATGGCAATGACGCAAGCGAAGATTATGATTGTTTTTTTATTGAAGGTTATATTTTTGAAACTGCTTTCTATAATAATAATAATAATAGACTAGCGCTTACACATATGTTAGTGTTTGGCCGAGCTTCTCCTCCGAATTGTGGCGTGCGCCTTGATATTGTCACAGAAGCTGTTCTTCATGGCAGAAAAACACTCGGAGGTTTGCCATTGCCTGCCGAAGGACGACCGCTGTTAAGAAAAAAACCCTTTTTTATATTTTTTTTTGCGATGTTGCTTTGACCAGGGTTTGAACCCAGGTGCTGCGGAGTGGAAGCGCGCACTGCTTACCACTACACCACAGCGGCCAGAAACTGCTTTCTAAGCTTAACAAAAACATACAGAAAATTTTTACAGTTCGGATTCATCAATATATGTATGAAATCCTTTGAAAGTAGAACTTCCGTAAAGTGGTGATGTTGATGATGAAAATAGTGATGAAGATAATGATGATAATGATAGTGATGATATTTGGTTTGTAATTATTGATGATTATGATTTTAACAAATTATCATTAATAATACAAAATATTTAAAAGAAAAACAACTAAAGTTTCACTTTTTTCTCTCTTTGGTAATGCCATAAAAACCTTACTAAAAACATTTCCCACTACAAAAACAAAAAACAAAATTTTAATGCGCGTCTTTAAGCCGCATGCATGTTTCCACTTTCTCTGCTGCTCTTCGTTCCTTGGAAAACTGAAAAATAGTTAATGGTTTTGTTGTTTCTAAGCCAGAAAAAATTTACTTACGCATGAAGCCATGTAGTCGTATTGTAATGTTTTACATGTGCAGTAGCGCCTTACCGTGGTTTCTTATATACATACATATGTACATACAATTATGTATGTATATGAATTTTGAAAAGTAAAATTGTCATTTTGGGTACATTTCTTTTCGTATCTCTCTTTCTTTTTTTAATATATCGACACTCTGATGTTGGGGCCAGCGTTGCCGTTTTGGTCCAATTGAACCAAAATTGGTAGCTTCATTCTACTTTGGTAGTTTGGTTGGTTTGATGAAGCTTTTGGTAGGCAAAAATGTTTTGAAAATTCAATCGAACTGAGCATTAAATTCAATCGAACTGAGCACTTTGCGTTTACATGTTGAAAACATTGCTTTCAGTTTGTTCACACGTATAAGTTTTCTTTGTTTTTTCTAAATTTTACTAAGCACACAACTTTCTGCAAACAAATACTCACTTCCCAAAGCTATGGTCGATCATCTGTTGAAATTGAACGAAAAATTGCCTATCGTCTTGATGATAGGCAATTTGCAAAGTGTGAGTGTATTGGTAAAAAAGGGTGAGAGTATGCAAATTGAAACAAAATTTAGAATTTTGTTTTATTGAAATGCATAAAATGTCTGATTTAGGTTTTTTACACATAAAAAATGTTTGACATGAATTGAATTAATCTCAAAGGTATTCACATTTTTACAAAAGTTTTTTACGCAATACGCTAATTCTTTTGTTTAAAAGCACGAATTTGTTTTGTTTAACCTTGAAGATTGGCATGAATGGTTAACCAACACTGTAAACAATATTATACTGCCAATTCGTGTAGCTAAAAACCCCGTAAATTCAAGAAATCTCGTTTTAATAATGAACAAAAATTTGGTAGTTTGGAAACTGATTTGGTAGGCGTTTTGGTACCTAAAAATAAGCTCAAGTGGCAACACTGGTTGGGGCATGTACTTTGTATGTACTTGCAATATAGAAGTATTACGTATATGCATAAGTCCCATTTTCAAAACATGTTTGATTTTTAAAATCGGATGAAAAATCGTCAAGCTGTTAAAATTAAGGGTTCAGGAACTATAAGAAACCTATTTCCATGTTGTACTCGACCCTACAACATACAACACTAAGTATAGTTTCGGGTGTATTTCGTGATTTTTATACCCGAGCGCACTTGTGCACAAGGGTATTATAACTTTGTTCACATAACGGTTGTTTGTAACAGACAAAACGAATCGAGATAGATATAGACAAATGTATACATAAATGATCAGAATGAAAAGAGAAATCGATTAAGCGGTGACTGTCTGTCTGTCCGTCCGTCTGTCCGTCCGTCTGTGCACACGATAACTCGAGTAAAAATTGAGATATCTTAACGAAACTTGGTATGTGCACTTCTTTCATGCGTAGGACGGATGGTATTGAAAATGGGCGAAATCGGACACGCCTACCTCCCATATAACGGTAATTTTCCGAAATACGAAAACTGCGATATTTTAGTAACTACTGAAGATTATTCACTCAAAATTGATATTTACAATAACCTTTAGACGGAAAATAAGAATATTGTACATTTTTGGAAAATGGGCGTAGCCACGCCCACTTATGGATACATGTGTATATCTTGGTAACCTCTGCACCAATTTCTTCCAAACTTGGCACAGTTGTTAGTCTTGCTACAGCATACGAAATGGCCGAAAATTTTTAAAATCGGACTATAACCACGCCTACCTCCCATATAACGGTAATTTGGAGAAATACGAATTCTTCGATAAATCAACAAATATTAAAGCTAATTTACTCAAAATTTATGCTTGCAACAATTCTTTGCCAAGAAATACGTTTATGACAAAAATTTGGAAAATGGGCGTAGCACCGCCCACTTATGATCACATATATGTATCTCGGTAACCGTTCTACCAATTTGTACCAAACTCGGTATGATTATTGTGCTTGCCACATAGAAGCAAAACGTTGAAAATTATTGGAATCAGATTCAAATTACGACCACTTTTCATATAACGCCAAATTTCAGAAATGCTAATTTACTCAAAACTGATACACACCGGCTTACCATGTAGCGGTACCTGCGCCGGGTATTTAATGTTCGGCTCCGCCCGAAATTAGACTTTCTTACTTGTTTTTTTTTGGTAGCACCATGGTATCGTTAAAAAGTTATTGAACCAATAAATTCTTTCAAGTATGTACATATAGTGGCGAATAACACGATCAGATTAGTAGCTTCATGGTTTCCAACGCTATTGGGAATCTGTCTTATGTGCAGATGAGCCGGCGTTCGCAGACACACCTTGTAAAATTGACGATGCCGCCACCTCAAAGCCTATCGACGTAAACCTCTACTCTATTACCTGCTAAGTTCTGTTAAATATACTACTTATATATATAATTATTACCTGTTGTTGTGGTGGACTCTGAGTTGAATGATGGAACGGTGGAGGGAAATAGGGGGGTTGAAAATCTGATTGCAAGGATTGGTGATGCATTGCAGCCGCAGACCCATGGGTTCCGCCATGACTACCATGTCCTGAAGAAGGTCCTCCCCGTCCACTGTGGCCGCTTGTATGTGTCGTATAAGCAGGACTACTACTTGACAATCCCAAGCTGCCATGACTAGTGAGACGTTCCTGAAATATATGTTTTAATTTTAATTCTATTGGAATAGTATTAGAAGGGAGAACTAAAAATCAAAGATTTAAAAAATAGCGAAATAGTCGGCGTTGTATTCATAATAATTTAAAATAGGTTTGAAAAAGGTTTACAAAATAAACGTTGTGTAACTTTAGTCAAAAAAGCTTTTTAGGGTTACCAAAGGTTTAACTAACTTCAAAATTTAAGCAACTGTTATTGTCTTTTCAAATTTAATTTTTTTTTTACTTGTTTTCATCGTAGAAGTTCAGATGTGCCTGGTTATTGGGTTATCTGTTAACAAATTTAGCTACTTTAATTTGGAGTTCGTTTATACTGAATCAATGTATGTATAATTTGATACATGAACAACGTTATAGTCTGATTATGCATACTTCGCATACATTTCAAACTGTCAGGTGAAAATCTGTTGAATGCATTTTGTATGTATTCCATTACCCAGAAATTAGCAGAACTTGTAAAAAATTTGCGATCTCTTGAGTTTAGATTTTGCCTGACGTTTTCATAAGTGACATTTCAATTGCAGTAGTACCAATAGCATTTTTTTTTACAGAGAGCATGGACTCCATCTATGTAATTTTGGGAACAAGTAAAGAATAGGGCCCGTTGAGATAAAAAAAAAGAAAAAGTGAGCATGGCCCGCCGTTTTTCTCTGATTTTAATGGAATACATTCCATTTGGGTGCAAATTCGTAGGAACGGTGCTAGGGAGGGTAAACGTGGAATTTTCAATATTTTGAAAAGCTTATATTTTGAAAAGTTTTGAACCAATTTTTAAAGTATGGAAAGGGTTGGAAAGGTAATTAAAAGTCCTTTGATTTCATTTGTGTACATAACATATATGTATATATAAATTATGGCAATTTTTTTATAAAACTTTTTTTCTTAAAAAAACTATATTAAAAGATATGCACAACATAAGAAAGAGCACAAAAAAACCTTTAATTATATATATGATTTATAATAAAAAAATATTCGGTAATATCCCTGAATATTAAAATGTGGTTTTATATGTTAAGAGAAAAAAAAAGCTCTACAGGCGAACATTTAGAAGAAAATATCGCGCTATTTTTTTAATCAAAATATTCATTTATATTAAAATATCATTTTATATGAATAAATTAGGTATTTTTATGCTCTTTCCAGTAACTATGTAATTTAATATATTTAGTTAATTACGTATTTTTTAAGAAAAACATACGAATTTTATTTACATATTTTGACAGATATTAAATTGCAAATTATGTCAATCTGCAAAGAACTTTAGTGTCGACTTAATTTGTACTACAAATATACCCCACTAAAACCACTTAAACCAATTTTTCTGTAAACAAATCCGCTTAACTGAAGAAACCAAAAATCAGCTGTTTTTGTTCACACACCGTGAATAACCCTATTGCGTCGATGCATAAGGTTGGTAGTACTGATAAATTTGATTGCATGCGAAGCTGATTATGACTTAGTTTTGTAAAATTGTGTTACGTTTAAGAAGTTGTGGGAAGTTATCCGAAGTATGCATAATCAGACCTTTAAGTGTATGTGCCGCAACTTGCTTGTTAAATTTTGTACCGAGTCAACGCAGTAACAGGCTAACCTAATATTCACGCACGCCGCCAATTTACTGTCAAAAATTTCGCATGCGTTACAACTTGTATGGGACCAGCCGAAATTGAACGGTGTGCGTACGAAGCTAACTCAATTTCCAATTTTTGTTCTGCGTGACATTTTGATTTGACATTTCACTCAATGAAATCAAATACAAACGCACGCAAGCCAATTTATGGTGACGCAAGAAAAAAAATTCTACGGCGTGCGTACCAAAACGCAAGCCGCGAATATTAGGTTAGCCTGTTAACAGTTTGCTTGTTTCAATTATACACTTGTACAATTTCAAACAAACCGAATCGTTTCTTGCATGATACAAATATTTAAAGGTAAAACCGCTCGCTCAATTCGTCCGCCATTGGGTTTTTTTGACGTTTGCTAGGTTTTTGAGTTTTCTCTCTCGAAATGCTTCTAATGTCAAAGAAATTCAAAATAAACAAATGTGAATTTATGATTTGAAATATTTATTTATTCAGAAGTTGGAAAAACTAAAAAATTTCGAAACGAAAAATGAGCTGCTGCTTTAACGGCTGCGCAAATACCGTTGTCCACTGCAAGCAGAGCAATATCAAGTTTTTTAAGTTCCCGCAATTATCGTATATACGGCAAAAATGGATCGAGGTTTGAGGTGTTATAGAAGCGGATTTGCCAAAGTGCCCGTATGCATGATACAAAAAAGAAGGTAGTTCCATTTAATGACATTCGTTGTTGTTGTTAACCATTTGACTTTTAATAAAATTATGACATTTCTTCAAATTCATGCTACCTGATCACTGGAAGAAATTTTGTTTTTCAAAGCAGAAGATTTTATCAGTACATTCAAAGATGTGGAATATAATGGACTTGAAAATTATGCCGGCTACATAATTTCGTAAATGGGGTTGATGACCAAGTTTCAGACTTTGTACTTTAAACGACGATATGTTCATTGTTTAGCGGTCTGTTCAAGTCGACTTCAGGTTTTTTGCATATATTAGAAACTTTAAATTCAAAATTTGTGAAAGTTAATGGTGATGCGCTAATCACAAAGCCTAATTTTTTGCAAAATCTCATGAGAAATTAAAATTAAATTTGAGCCAAAATATAAAAAAGGTTTTATTTGCAAAGAATATTCTTTAGAAATAGATTTTTAAATCGCAAGATTGTATTCAAAATAAGAAAATGAAAAAATAACAGTATTGCGCGTGGGTTTTATTATAAAATAAAAAGAACAATTACCATGAAGTCATCTTTAATACTTTATATCAGAGACATAACTAAATATTATAAGAGAAAAGAATAAATGTCAATCAATAATCATTATATTGAGATAAATATGTCTCAAAATAAGTCTCAAAGTGGAAATTATTTTAAAAAGACTTCTATTATATAAGTCTTTAAGACTTATGATTATTTTAATAATAGTTATCGATGACTTAAAAAAATTTATCACACATAATTATTATCAAAGGACTTATAATTCTTGCGAATATTTTGTTGACCTATTTAAAAATCCAACAATAAAATAATTATTATTCTGGGTCTCTGCTTTATATTTTATATATTTTTAATAAAAATAGTGCGAGCTACGTAAGTAAAAAAAATACCAAGCACTGATAATGGGTTTTGATTTGAAATATTATTACATTGGTATAAATATGGGAAGGAAAATACTCCGATTTATTGTTTTAATATTATCAAAGTGGCAAGGCCGTTGACAATACTCACAATTTATGAAACTTCAAAAAATTTTATTATCCGTCAAAAGTTGTTTATTGAAACTACCTTCTTTTTTGTATCATGCCCGTATGTGTGCTCGGCTCATTTTTTGCCACACCACTTTACCCAATATAAGCACAAGGTCATTCTTTGCAAGAGTGCAGTGCCTTTAAGGTAAAAATGTTTAAAGTTATGCATGTAAGCATATGTATGTAGAAGTTCATTGAACACAATTGTTTACATCTATGTATTTATTTACATACATATGTATATATGTATGTATGTATGTGCATTCAGATTTTGTTGTTTCGTCAAAATATATTTATTTGGTTTGAGTGAAAATAAAAACAAACAAATAAAATGACGGCGAGAGAAATTTTCAAAATGCTAGCAAACGTCAAAATTCCTAAAGCTGGCTCTCAGCGATTGTACCTTATAAATATTTGTATCATGGTTTCATGCATAATAAAAACATAGCAAGGTAGAACCGTTCTCTCAATTTGTCGGCCATGATCATGATCAAGGTGTATTAAACAAGGTGTGATTGACAACTCAGTGCGGCTCTCTTTTAAGGTACTATAATGTCAAAAAGTATAAACAAACGAATTAACCCTTAGTGATGCTTGTATCTTGTCAGCACTGATACCCTAGGCTTTAATTTTGATTACAGTTTTGTTTTACTTACATTACCTGGAATATATATATTTTGTCAATAAAACAAAACAAATTGTTTATAAAAGCGTTTTAGCAATTTTCTTGTTTTTAATTTCCCAAGTTTTATGCTTTTCTACGTTTATTTTTATATTTAAATAGAAGTATAATTTTGCATTTATTTCCAATTTTATATGAGAGCTTAACTCTAACAATTTTGAAAATAAATTTTTTTTATGCGAAATAGTTTGTTTATAAACGAGCTCGTTTGAAAGTGCTTGACTCGGACGGACAACAAATGAAATCACTTTCCTTGAAGTGGTTTTCACAAACGCGAGATGAATCACGTAGTACAACACTATATCGCTGCCCTCTTAACTCGCAACTATTTTCGTGTCCTGACTTCTATTGCATACAGCGCACCGTTCAAAAGTTTTGCTCCGTTTCATCTTGGTTTCCTTACATTAAATATTTAAGAAAAGTCGAACGTACATATTTACTTATTACCAAACTTTAAATGTGCTTACTTGCTCTCCTCGGCGGTTTTTCTCTTAACAATTTCACGTTTATTAAGAAAATTTGTTGCTTGAAAAATTTTTGTGTAAATTTTTTTAAACAAATTCAAATTTGAAAAAAAAAAATATTTTCAAATGGGTTAACAATTCATTTCAATTTGACATTATAGCCTGCTTCTTATGAGAGCAATTTCAAAATCAATCACACTTTGTTGAATACATTTTGATCATGATTCAATAATTAAAGGTTTGCTCATTATTGACATTAGAGTTTTGACACTCCCTTAGCTCCCTTACAAAAGCTTTGCACACACACACGAGCCCACACACAGTACCTTGCTAAGGGAGACGATTTTGTCAAGAGGGAGCGAGAAAACTGCTTTTTGAGCAAACCTTTTATTATTGAATCATGGGCCATGATTTTTTCCTGAAGTTTGCCAACATTTTAAAATCATATAAAAGTGAAAATAAAAAATTGAAATTGTTCGAAATTGATATTGCTTGAGATTG